CCTCTAGACTTAGGCTGATGTGATTCACAGGCAGCTCAGCTGAGATCCAAGTATTGCAAATCAGTCGTCATCCTGGTGTCTGGTCTGAACTTCTCAACTGTATTGCCCTGCCCTGCATGCTTGGCTGAGCAAGTTCGGTTCCCGAAGACATCTCCAGCCAGGGTGCGATTCCCGGCATCACGCTGAGGCCTGCAGTGCTCAACAAAAAGTGGGCTGCGGAACATGACAGCTGCAGCAATGGCCTCTGGTCAAAGCCCTGGCTCGAGCAATCTAAAAACAGGTGAGAATCGGAAACCAAAAGCAACGCGCCAGGCAGCAAAAAGCAGCTAGAGACTGGCCGAATCCTGGCAACGTTGAGTCTGCTCTCTGTGGCTCTGTGTCTGGACCGGGGGGGGGACACAATATTGAATCAAACAGCCAAACCAAAAGAATCAGAAGCAACACCACAAAAGGCAGCTGGACAGGCCAGGAAATAGGAGTCTCAAGTTGTGTTGTTTTGCTCAGCTTGGTGTCTGCTTTTGCTGGAGACCGGTTTTGTTGCTTGACTGTTCGAATCAGAGCTGTTCGATCTTGGGCTTAGGCTTCCTTTTGGAAAGTACCGCGCAATTACTGTATTTTTGCATTAAATCAGCATGCGCAAATGTGTGCCTTCTGTGGGCCACTACATGCAGTCACGATTTGCTAACAACCCATACAAAGTGACACGCCATGTATGTCTTCAACATGCACCCATTGAGGCCGCTAGGCGAAAACACAGCATTCCAGGACTTGGCTCATTTACAACTACTGCTTTGTCTTGCCACGCAAGCGCAACTTCATCTCAGGCGCCAAGGGAGTGAGCTCTGTCCAGGAAGGCTCCTTAGCACCACAATGAACATTGAATCGGTTGACCTGGTATGAATGGGGATGGCCCAACAAAGCGATCGTGCTGCCAAACGTGCTGATGAGACCAACCATCTACAGCATACTGAGGTAGCTGTTTGCCCGCGGCCAAGGTTCCGTGGTCTCCGTTGTAGCCCAGAGAGTGGTACATGCGGACCGCATTGGCACCTGAAGCATCACTGGGGCAAGAAAACCAATGGCAGCCGGTCAACCCTCGTTAGCGCGAGAGATGCTCCCAAGGGTCAGGCCCAACTTCTGGATGACCTCCAGGTCATTGCGGCCCTGTGAGCCCCATTGCGCGGCATAACCAGGCCTTGGTGAGTGGCAAAGGGTGCGAGTTGGTCTTCTAAATCTGGCCCCTGCACATGCTGATGGACACGCAGTGATTCAGTGACTCCTCTTATGCCAACACAAGTTGAGCCGATGCGCAAAACTGAAAACCAAACATAACACAGAACCGCAACTGCTGTAACCGCAACTGCTGTTGCAGTTCTATGTGCTGCATTGTGGCATGGCCATCCCATGTATTTGTTGCATCTACGATTGGTAAAATCATGCCCATGCCCAAACATAACCACCGCGTGACACCCCAAGGCAGCTGCAGCATGACGTCCTCACTGGGGAGCTTGTCCTTGCAGGGTGCATCCATAGTGCACGGCAGCCTCAGCTTTGCGAGGCGCGGAACAGGATTTTCACCCCAAGGCCACACAAATCCAAGCGGACAAATTGAGGTGTCCACGAACTGCTCCCTGCCAACATTTGAACACCTACGATCAGTACAGCAGAGATGGATGATTGCCTCTGCAATCGTAAACTTTCAATCCTAACATGCCCAAATGACACCTGCGGCTGCACTTGCTCAAATGACACGACGGCAACGACAACGACGACAACGACGACCAACACCACTGTGATAAATGAAGCGACATTAATCTGCGTTAAGCAGCTCCAGCGTGGAACAAGCACAATGCGCATCTTCTAAAAGCAAACATGCCATAACCTTTGGCCATATTGGCCTCTGTCACTGGAGCTTGTGAGTTTGATGGCTAGGGCCCCCTCTCTGGCCACGTTCATGTTTCTCACGGAAATATTCGGGGATTGTGTTCAACCCAGAGTCTCTGCGACTTGGCGACTTAGCACTGAACCTGCTTCCGCACATCTATCGAACCCCTGTCCTGCCGGGCCCAGTGTGCAGTTGTAGCCACTCATGAAATGCTGCTATTTACGTGTAACGTTGCTTTTTGGGCAACCCCCCCCCCCGCGCTTGCACGCAGCAACCGCGTCTTCAACTCCAAGTTGTAAGTCAGGGTAGTTGCACATTTGACCGCCCTCCGTGCACAGCGGAGTAACACATTCATGTAGTCTGCGCTTCCCTCCCCGCTACTCTGCATGCTTCTCATTGCTTCCAACTGTGACTGATCGAAGTGGAGTCCAAGGGACGGGGCGTACGCCACCCCCCGCAAAGGGCCAGCCGGCAGCGGAGGTGGGGAAGGAGAAGGGCCTGAGCCTGGCAAATGAGGTCTGCGCAGGTGCAGCTTACCCGAACCCTCAGCGGCCATGGGAAAGAAGCGAAGCCATTTTGGCAGTCGATAGTGATCAGCCAAGCTTGTTTTAATTGTTTGTTTTTACTTCGGGGGGTTCTAGTACTGGAATGCATCCTTAAATCCTTAAAAAGCAGTCAGTCCGCGTTCAAGCGAATCTCCTAGTGATGGACAGCAGCAAGGTCACGCTTCCTCCCCGGCAACCCGGCGATTTGCGAGTCACAGGGTGTGTCTTTAGAAATGACTGCAGTAACAAGTACTTCGCAATCAGCCGAGCACATAGCAGCTCAGCACGTTTCGGGAAGAAGTGCCAAACGCTCAACGACAAAAATAGCAGCAGCACATGGATGAGGGGTTTTGTCTCAGGCTACCAATGCGTGCTGGTGCACATCCTAGTTACCCGCACTGGCAAACAAAGACCCCCCTGCTTTGGGTTAATCCCTTCTATCTGCGAACCGTACAACAAGGGAAAAGGTCGCCACCGAACCACTACATTTCTCGCAGCTCTCCAAACAAGCAAAGCAGGCTGGCCAACCCGGCCGTTCGTGCCTCCATGATTGCCGCTGGCCACAGCCACGGCAACGCCCACTATGATGGCGACCAAACACAGCAAGCCCAGGATCAGGGGAATCAGCCGCCTGCACCGGAACCAGCCTTTGCTTTTCCACCAGGCACCAAACACAAAGCTTCGTAGGGCTTCCTTGCGCTAGGTGATTTGTTCGGCGGAAGGGGGGCATGGATATGCACCTCTCACCTAGCGCTTGAAGGCTGGCATGTTCTCCCACAGCATTGCCAAGCACTGCCTTCTAAATTGCCAAACATTCTCATGCCACTGATTTCCTGAAGCTAGGTCTTCGATCTTTGGGCCACGCAGTTCACCAAGACAAATCTTTGCACAAGACTCGTTGTTGGTTCCGCCATGGCTCACTATTTCACCAAAGTGCCATGTTGCCAACCTGTTGATTGTGCAAAGCTAGCAGCACCACCTTGCCATACCCGGCCTGGCATCAACAAACACTGTATATGGCAACCTGATCTTATTTTGCCGAGCTTCCCAAGCCTTGCTCTTATGACAAGTTCCTAGACTTCATTCACAAGATTTATCGACAAATATGGCCTTTTCAAGCGCCTTCTCCTAGACCCTGGAAGGATCTAGGAGGCAGTCCCCAACCACTAGTCAGGTCTCATTAGTTCGGAAATGCAAAATATTGCTGGCAATTTGTCCAAGATCCATTGTCTACTGTTGGCAATCGAACCCATCTCCCCCCCAGCCCAGGAATGTCTTGCGAAGGGCTGGTGTTTTGGGCTGCCGGCACACGCAAAGTGGCCTCGAAATATGGCAGCTCTTGCCATCTTTGACATCTCAGGCATGGCTGGCAAAGCAAGAGGGGCCGGAAGCAAGCAAAGTGTCACCACAAACCCAAGTAACAATCTCTCACGCTTTGCAACAAGTACCATTGGCTCTTGAGCCGAACTTCAGCCCCTCTGCCTTCAAACAATTCTGCGTTACATGGAGTGATATGGAGACATGGATTTAAAACATATGGACACGCACCGGCACAGGTGCGAGGTGGCACGGAAGTGAAGGACGTGCAAGCTTAATGCTTGGCCGCAGAAGCCCTGCGTTAATGTTCCAAGTCTGCACCAAAAATGGATCGGCGTTCCCAATGTGCAGGACAGTGGCAAAGTAAATCCGCTGATTTGTCTTCACATTGTATGTTGATTGTGGGTTTTGGCAGGGCCTTGCCTTGTTGGCCTGCACTCAGGTAACACCATTTCAATGGCTCGAGTTGGGGTTGCTGAAAAGCTGCCAAAACCAGGCATTTCTGCAACCCCGTCTCATGGCGCCGCAGGCAGTTGACACCCAGCGTTTGAAGATCGATTCTTGTACAAGCAATGTGTATTACCGTTTTGGACGGGCCTGTCAATGATACGACGATCGATTTTGCGCGTGGAGTGCGAGTTGTTTACAGTGTCTTCCAACCCGCCATGGCTCAGCTGGGACTGGTCAACCAACTCTGCAACTGCACCGCTACAGGCAGTTCTGCACTTGACTGTAACTGTCCCGGGCCAGTGTATGAGTATGCTGCTAGAACTTCATCCTTTCAGCTTCCAAAGTCAGCGAACCTCTTAGGCTTAGCTGCAAGCGGTGGACAGCCCTGCGCAACCTGTACCCAACCTCTTGACAAAGGTCAAACTCGTGGCATTGGTCAAGACCCCATGGGGCAAACAATAAAAGGCTTCGGCGAAAACAATCCAGCAGTGCAAAAAAAAGGCGACAACCGCGCCTACACACCGCACACATATTTACAGTACAAGTACAACTCACATGCCCATATTGTATGCATGTGTAGATATATATATATATATATATGTGCATACGTATTAATATATTTATCTCTCTCGCTCTCTCACTCTCCGTGCGCCATCCCAATATGCGGATGCTTATTGTTCACATACAGCATCATAGTAAGCGCTGCAACAATCAATGAACGTTCCCACGTGTTCTCCTTCTCGATGCGTGGAACATGCGTGAAATCTTTGGAAGCTTCGGGATCTGTGTTCTGGCAGGCGGCTTCACAGGCTCTCCTTTTGCAGGATCATTCGGAGATATTTTGCCTGGCAAAGGTGACCGCGCGCATAGCGTGTCGAAGGCAATTGTAGTGAGATTGAAAACATTCTATCTATCCCTCCCCTCCGCAACCCTTCAACAAAACAAAGCTGTTGCCAGAAAGTCAGAACACATTCATTTATGAGGATTAATGTTGTACAGCACAATTCGGCAAAAACCGCCGCCATCGCGACACTATGCTACACTCCTTCCCTCTAAAATGTAACTTCTGCCGACCATGCGAAACAACGAATGGAAAGCCTTCTGCAGACATGGCCGTATCAAAATCAGGCCCGTTTGTGGACTTCTTTTCGCCCATGGTCAACGGGATTCTGCATGCCAATTCTCCCCAGTGACAGGCAAAATTATGGTGGAGGGTTGTCATTTTCAGCAAACACGCTGCCACAGCTTTGCAATCGCATGGTGCTTCGCCTTTCCACGAGAAGGGCCGCGACACTCCGACTCAAACCTCGCTCCAGCCTCTTCCTCCTGTGAGATCATCAGCTTAAAGTCCAAAAACCTGCGACGAGCTGCACGAGCGAAAGGGATCCTTGCAAAAATAAAAGCTCCGCATCGCACGGCAGTCTTGCAGAATCTCTCTTTCAGATCCAAGCTTTTACTGATACCTGCGACGCCTACAGAAACCATCTTGAAATGCTTTCAGGCTTGTCAGTAGCCCATTCAAGTCCAAGTTTTGGTGTCATGCGGCAAATGTCACATTAATGCTGCAGTGGCTTATCCAACCCGCGATTTCTTGTGGTACACCTGTGCAATTGTAAACTGCGAATTTATCCATGGTGCCTGTTTGTTCAACCCGGCAGACACAACACGTGTTCCTAAGATTTGACCTTTGTCATTCTGGCAACCCCGAGGTCCAACAAATCTAGAATAAATCAATCAAAAACCCCTAAGCTCATAAAGTAGGCGGTGTTGTAAGAGAAATGTAGTAAGGGTAATAATAGGGCTTGATGGGAACGGGTCTCATTGATACCACGGTTGCCATATAATCGGTACAATGTAGACGTCTGTTCACATTGCATCCTCTTGGCAATTTTGGGAAAAAAAGCCACCGTCTCCCGCCATCAAGTCAATGCCCGGACAACAGCCAAAACTGGCAAACTTTGCAAGTGGTGGCAAACCTCTGGCAGGTTCAAAAGCCCGTTTCACGCGAACCAGCGCAAGCAATCAAAACAAACTGGCTGAACAAACTGCTCCGAAATGGCTAATGCAATGATGACGGTCACGGGATGCCACCTTTACTTATTTTGTAAAAGCAGGGCTCTTGACTCCGACCTTGCTCGCATCAACTACCCCCCTGGCCAGGCAGCCAACGAAACGGGAACTTGCTTGTAATTCTTCGAGGGGCGAGAACACACGGAACAGAGCCGCGTCCATCTTCTTCAGGGAGCAGTATTTGCGGAAGATGTGCCTGTGCCAGTCGCCTTGAGTGGACAAGTCAGGGAAGTCAGAAAGCCCCAGTCTTGTCCAATGTTGGCCGGTGGCCCAAAGTTCCTTCCCAGGTTTTTTTAATTATATTTTTTGTTTTTTAATCAAGTGTTAAACAACGCAGTTGGTACATACACAAAGATTCCTATTCATACCTTGCGTGGACTGAGAAAAGATAGTGCAACGGTGATCCAAGTGCGAACATGCGTTCGTTTGTATGGCGGCCAGATTGGAAGCGAATGACCTCACAATAGGACAACTGGAATGGATGCAAAGAAGTGGGCAATCAAATCCAGTTGCTTTGCAGAACCTTGATCATTGGCCGTCTGGAAGGCCTTCTGCTCGTGTAGAAGTACCCTGGAGATATGTGACCTGCTCTTCAATGGGATTCTGTATCGGACAAGTGCAAATCCATATATATATATATATATACATGATACATATATACAACGTGTCTGGGCTGAGCCAAGGTTCAAAGGACCAGGTCCAACGTGTTACACTTGTTTCATCTGCTTTCCGATATTGAAGCCCACGCATGGGCCAATAGTAGGAACCCAGCATGACCGAGAAAGGTCGAATGACAACCTATCATCAATGAAGTTTACCGGCTTCGCCAGTTAGCGATGTCAAAAGCATTTTCTTTCTCCCGTTGCTTGTGCTTTGCTCATACGTTTTGCCATGTGTGTGATTCTGATGTAAATATGTTTGTGTGCCATTTGCTTTCCCGCGCCCAACCCTGTCAACTTGACTCGATAAGCCAAGTGGATGTGCAGGCAAGTCACGGATTGGGCAATTCTCATCCAGCACAAAGCCTGGAAGCTGGAGCTAAACAAATGCAAACAGAAATCCACATTGAAGCAATCCCTGCAAGCGAAAGCCGAATAAAAGCTGGCACCTTATTTTCGGGAATCTCTACATGCATCGGGGTAGGCGGTCAGAAGCATGACGGCACGCGTTGCAGCGCTTCGGCTTCAACACACAAAACCCTTCTTCAGCAAAAGCTGGAGTTGTTGCAAATTCGGATGCTCGAATATGAGGTAAAATCATAATAATTCGTGCCCAGTTCGTGATGATATGAATTGGGACCGACCAGCATCACAGAGTGAAGCAAACCAACAGTGCATTTGTTGCAGCCCGCGGGTCCACAAAGGCCGTGTCGCATCCATTCCACCAAAGCAGCCACAACGTCGTGCAATTACATGATCCCCCCCGAATGTGGGCGTAAAATACGAGGGTCCCCCATTTCAAGGACTGCCCACCTCTTCTCAACAGCGACTTCCGGAGGCCAAATAACTTCTGCAAGCAGTAGCCCGGTAGCCTGGCAACGCTAAGCGCCGTACTGTGTGCCAGGTAGATGAGCAGAATGCAAATGTGCACCGCCTCCCAGGCACCAAGGGCCCTTTGTTTCTCAGGCCAGCGATGCCCAGGCAACGGGCCCTACGAACACATCACGCCAGTCGCGCGCCACCCAGGGTCACTGGGAGACATGCAGCAAAGATCAGCAAAGATGTCCCTCTTGGAATCTCAGCACCTTCATGTATCCGAACACACAACCTTTTTTAAGGGAGGGCCTAGTCACCAATCCCAGTCACCAATACTCGCTGCCTTTGCCGAGCTGCACGCCAACATGATGCGACATGTTGCGCTTCTGGACACGACGATGCGGCATTCGCGGCCAAAGGCCTCTGACCGGCTGACCACGCCCATCAGTGGAGGCATCACCCGGCGGAAATATGCGCAGGTGTAGGCCAGCGCTACCACCTCAGGCGGACCAAAGGATTCAACAGAGTGGTATTAGGCCCATATCTGTATCAGCTAACTGGGATTCACAGGCAAGGGAAAAAACACACTCCCATTGCCTGTGTTGCTGCTTGCGGTGGTTGAAAGCTCCAAGGAAGGACTCACCCCCATTAGCCCAACACTGCGCAATTCACCCAAACTCACTCGGCCATTAAAGAAACATTAGCTTTATTTATTCAACTCCCTAATGGAACAAACTAAACATCCAGGACAACTGAAGAATATACAACTGAGCATGGCAGCGCGCCAGTCCTAAAATCTTGACCCAGTCTACGCTAACATGCCCGTCCCCCGCAGCGTCCGGACACCTGCGAGAAGTCAAGCTGCACAAGAGCCAACTTCACTGCGGCACTAAGCTCTGTACGATGTCGTGCGAAGAGTAGGAGCATGCCCGCAGAAACCGGATGGTGTGGTGCACCTGCGAAGTGCCAGCTACAGAAAGTAATGGCAACATCCAGGCCTCATGGATTCCTAGGAAGCTGCTCGCGACACTATGTGTTCAGAACTTTGCCCACCACCACCACTAGCACCACTACCCGCCAGCACGACCATCCACCTGCGTGACCGGTAGAAACTCGCAGCCAAAACCGACGAGCCCGAGCGATGTAGGGCAGCTGGGTTCTGAAGTCCCGCACCTTCTTCTGAAGCATCTGCTCGTCGAGGCGGCAATTAGCGCGTGTCTCGTCCAGAGCCTGGTTCATGGCAAGCCTTGGCTCCGCATGCTCTTACCGGTGATTGACATACATGGCGGCAGGCCCCTGTATGGCAAGTTCGAGCGGGTTCTTTGGTAGCTCTGCAGAAACCACGCGTGCACCTGCAATCCCGAAATTGAGATAATGTAAGTCCATGCTCTAATACGCCTGCGTGGGGCAGTTGATCAATATTGCTGTTTTCAGCAAAGGCAATCTTCGCGAAACAACGTTTCGTCCGCGCACGTTTCGCGACTTCATCGCCACGGCCTTGTGTTTGCAGCGTGCGCTCTGGAGCCATTGTGGCTGCTGCGGTTATGCTCGCAGACACAGGAATGCAGCTCACTCGCACTGGGAGGCTTGAAGCAGCGTTAAGTGAAAGCAGTCATCGCCACTCGCCCTTGCCAGCTCCATGGGCTTTCGACGGTCTTTTCGCGAAACTTGCTCCGAAAGGCCGGTTTTGGCTTGCACCACACCATTTCCAACACAGGCAGGGAATCAAGGATGCAAGTACTTAAAGGTGCTGTGCATCTCCCTGTCTACAATGGAGTTGGGGCCTGCAAGTGTGCAAGTGCACAGGCATGCCTCCAAGAACCCAACGCAGAATCTTTCGCGAACAAAACAAGTTTTTTTCGCGAACTCCATCGCCGATCTTTCGCAAAGGGATTTAAACAAACACCGATGGCCACCGAACACATGGCTCCTTGCAAGGACCTTTTGATCAACCCCCATGTCAAGCAAACAAAGCTGTTCATCTTCAATGTGTCTTGTCTGGATCTTGCCCGTTTTTCCAAGGCCAGTCCGATTCGTTTCGCATAACCTTCATCCTGTGGGGTAGACGTCGGCCAAGTCAGACCAGGCCGTATCCTCTTGGGATTTTGCTCCCGGTTGCTACTTCCGTGTGCCATGGACTCCATGGACCCATGCCCAGCTTATAAACTGCACAACAAGCATGCTCACACAGGGAGAACCAACCTGGTAGCACACTTTTGTAGTCTGTCAACATTTCTTGGTCGAGGCGCACAAGCTGCCAGGCAAGGTCCGCATCCTGCTCAGTCCTGCACCGAAGCCATGCTGGACATGTTCTGCTAAGACAGGCAGTGAGTATGGGTTTCGCATTTCGCTATCCCTGCTGGTGGCTGACTGGCGGTTTCCTGGTGGCTCAGTCTTATGCAAGCAATCCCAACATTGTTAGCGTCTGAGCTGCAGGGCCGAACCATGCCCCGGGCTCATGAAATTTAATTCAGTCTCCACTTCATCTACCTTCTTGGGTCATTGAAATAGATCTTCAATCCGGTCCGGGCCTCTGAAGTCGTCGCGGGAGGATGACGCCGCAGGCATCCTCGCAGGAATCAAGGCACAAGCCGCGGTAAATGTCAAAGAACTCTGCAAACATGTCCCGCTGGCTCGCAGTGGTGAACCATGCCGTAGCTGGCGACTAGCTAACAATTCAACTTACGCGAGGCATGAGGATGAGGGCACGGGCAGTGCGCAAAAAGGCTGCAAAAAGAGTGCGCCAACCTTCACATCACATGCTTGACGCCGCTTGCGATGTGGGATTCTCTCTCCTTGCCATCCCTCGGACATTGGCACAAGCTGCTTGTTGCGCTTATTTCCAGCACGCCAGGATTAAGCTTTCTGCATGGGCAACACAAACGGCTCCGCGTTCTGTATATTTTGTATGCGGCACTCAGTCTACATCTACGTTGCCTGGAAACTGCTCGAACATTCACATAGATATGCACGTATCCCCTCCAAGCAGCCCAGTCCAAACACACCGGCTCGCGCCAAAACCAGTATGGACTGTGACAATCCAAATTCCCTCGTACATCTCAGTCAAAACGTCCAACGGCCATGAGCCACTATCAACAAAACGAAAGACCCTGAACCCATCTTCCTTTGGCAGCTCTCAATCTTTGCTCCCGCGCCTGCAGCAACCAATGCCCTACAAGCAACTAACTTCCTCAGCACAGCCAGCAACGCTTCTGACCACAACAAGGAAGGTTCAAAAAGACACCACCTCGACATTCCTTCAAAGACATATCTTCAGACCAACCTCGAAGAAACACAAACATGGCATAAAAGGGTACAATACAAGATCCTGTCAGGCTGTTTTTCTGGCTCCTTTTTCAACGGTAAACTTACTTGTTGAAGCCCAAAAGGCAGCAAGCGCCCATGCCTTCTGCCAGGCTTGGCATGAATGAGAAGCTGAAACAAGTGGCCTCCGGTGAGGAGAACTTGCAAGGACCCAGGCTCAATTTACAACTGCTGTTCAGTTGGTATGACTGCTTAACTGATTTGCCGTCCTGCGTGATTTCAACTTTGCCCAACTGCTAAATGTTCCAAATCAAGCTTAGCTTCAATATGGGTATCTCTTTTGGCGGGCACCCGTTTTTTGCCTATTTGAAGGAAAACCAAAGATGAATGGACGTGGGCCCAGAAGGGCCCACAGCAGCCCGCGACCGGAGGTGCCCCGCAAAGCACGGGCCCCGATTTCCGCAGAGCCTATTTACGAAAGGTACCTAGGCCTGGGCTTGCAAGCGTGCACTCAATTCCCAGCAGGTTGACCAGCCACAAATAAATGCAAAAAAGAACTAGGGTTTCCCGCCAATGCCCAGTTTGCAGCGTTCCGGAGCCCATTCACCCTGCCGGAAGATGAGAACCCTTTCTAGGCTTGGCCAGTTTTCTTGGGGAACCCGCCCACAAAAGCAGAACAGGGTGCCGCTAAGTTGTGAATTCCACGGAGCTCCCTCGCCCGCCTTGGGAGTCTCCGCGGCGGTGGAGGCGCCAGAGCCGGGATAGCCGTCGGCCACAGGGGAGTCCAGGGCGCAGGGCAAGGGCAAGCTGGGCGCCGGAAGGCTCAAATCGGGTAAAAGAAGAATTCACCCCATGTTGGTTTCATCCCCCCTTGCCGACGAAATGGAATTGTGCCATCTACTTTGGTATACATTCTGAATGTTTTAGTATTGCAATCCTTTCCCTTGGAAACTCAACTGAACTGGCTGTTGCTTGCTGGACCTGGCTTTGCCCCGATCACGTCAAGGCATGTCAAGGCATTTCCTAAGATCATGCTCTCATGGATGCACCCTTGAAAATTGAAGGGCTTTGACCTGGACAACCGGCCAGCAACAAGGCCACCAGCTGATTGCTCGCATCCTCCTAACCGGATGATCTCTGTCAGAAGCATCTGGGCACGTCACTATTGAGGAATCCCCCAAGTGAAGGAGGTGAGCTCGTTAGCCCAGCTGAGCTCATTCTAATTTGTCCACTGAATATGTGGGTCCCGCCTAGGAGCCGACGCTGAGACAAAGGCCTTCTCTTGCTCTGAGGCCACAGAAACAGAAACAAAAGCAGCAAACATGGATAATTTCAACTCAAACAGCAGTTGTCCAGAAACATGGCACCTCACACCCCTGCGCAAAACCCCGAACCAGACTGGCAATTCACTTCCCGCCGAGGCACAGCGGTGCAGGGAAATTGGGCATGGAGTGTGTCAAACAAACGTCCGGAAATGTCCGGGATTATCCTCGGCTGCTCACAGCCCCAGCCGTCTCCAGCATCCCAGGCTTCCCGGAGTGATCCCATTCAAAGCACACAACCCACCAACCAACAAAGAACCAGCCAACAAACCACACCGAACCAAACCAATCCAAAGCAAGCAACACAAAGTATAGCGAACAAATAATCAAACCAACAAGCTAAACTGCTATGGACAAACCAAAGGAACGAGCAAGCAAGCAACGCAAGACAAAGCAAGACAAAGCAAAGCAAGGCAAAGCAAGGCAAAGCAATCAAACAAGCACACAAGCAAACAAACAAGCACACAAGCAAACTAAACGAACTCAATCAACCAACCAAACAACAAAAGAAATACACACGCCAGAAAGTCAAACAAAATACAAAACCCAACAAACATGCGAACAAACAAACAATCAATCAACTAATCAAACAAACAATCTAGCCACAGAGCGAGAAGCCGACCAATTAACCAGCCGCCGTACCAACTTTAAAAAAAGAAAGCAACAATAACACACAAAACAAACACAAACAAATGACCAAACCGCCCAAACAATCAAACAACAGGAACTCACACATGTACATAGACACCGACACAAAGGCAGAGACACACGCACAGATACAAAGAGACACAGAGACACAGAGACTCCTAGACACCCACCCACCCACCCACCCACCCACCCACCCACCCACCCACGCACGCACGCACGCACGCACGCACGCACGCACGCACGCACGCACGCACCCGCTCGCCCAAACACCCACCCACCCACCCACCCACCCAGCCTGCTCGCGCGAACGCTCGCAAACACACGCACACGCACGCACCCGCTCGCCCAAACACACTCACACACAGAGACAGACAGACAGACAGACAGACAGACAGACAGACAGACAGACACAGACACAGACACAGACACAGACACAGACACAGACTCAGACTCAGACACAAACACACAGACAGACAGACAGACAGACAGACAGACAGACAGCAGCCAGCCAGGCAGGCAGGCAGGCAAACAGGAGGCACAGGCAGGCAGATAGTCAGGCAGGCAGCCTGACAGACCAGACTAGACCACACCAGACCAGAACAGACGAGGCCAGACGAACAAACAAACCGCAACACACACACACATAAGCGCGCATGAGACAATGGAATGACAAGAAGCGCCCCAAACCTTATGTGCAGCCCAGGCTCGTTTCTTGTGAGTATCGATTTGCAGATAGGGATTGCACGTACAACAAACACTTGAGCCAGACTATTCACAGCCGCATCATACCATGTCATACCCACATTATACTTTGTCATGCCTCTTCATACCACGTCAAGGCACCATGGCACAGCCTGGGAAAACAAAATCAAAACATTGGCCACTGGGCCACTCTTTCCTGTGCTTTCCAACTTCCGCTGCCTGTACAGGTCTCCTGTGCTCCTGGAAGGTGGTTTTCCAGCGGAGCAGCTTACGACGTTACGTGCTCAGCGCGCAGGCCGAGTGATGAAACCAAAGGTGAAAACACAGGCAGTAAGGCCTGATGTGGCCTATGCCTGTGGGCTCACCGTTGGCCCTTCAGCTGCTGCAACTGCTCCACCATGGCTTTCACCTGAGCATCTTGCCCTCTAGATGACCATCCTGGGCCTACCTGCCCTCTTGCCGGGCAATGGCTTGCTCATGAAAGTATGGGCGCATGGCCGAAAGATCAACCACAAAAAGCACAAGACAAAACACATCACATATGAACAGCATTGCATCTTGTCAATGCCTTTAAAGCCTACTCCTTGAGTCATTGATGCTGTTTGTGTTGATTGTGTTGGCATCGGACACGATCTATCACTCCATCATGCACGAGTGGAAACATAGGACCGACCATACTCCATTCAAAAGCTTCATGAGGTCCTGTAAGTCTTAAATGGTACTGTAGCTCCTTTGCTGCCAAACATTCTGACAGCAACGTGGCCTGCCATCTCGCACCCAGTCCCGCGAATAATTGATGGCAACAACTGATGGAAAGAATGGGGGAAGGTACCCATGCTAGTGACGATCGCTGCTACGCATTTTGTAGTTAGCCCTTCCGGGCATGACCCTAAACAATCAAGAATTGAAAGCAGCTGAGATGCGCATTGACATGACTTCATGATGTCCCGTAGCCTTCCCTTCTTGAAATGGGAATCGGGTCTACGTTAAGGTACTCCCTTTGTGAGCATCCCTCATATCTGTTCCTGTGGCTTCCGCGGCATCACCCGGCCTCTGGGTCCGCGTCCGCCTTCTTGCCGCTGAGCCCCTGGGCCTTCAGCTGCTCCTTCTTGGTGCGGATCTGGTTACCTGAGATCGGATCGCATAGCTCTAGCTACCTGGATCTGGGTTGGGCGTGCAGGGTGCTGGTGCGCCTAATTGAAAGACTCTCGGACCCTGACCCAAGCAAATGTACAGCCAACCTTCACCGAAAAAGAAGTGGATGCCATGATGCGCGACACGAGCAAAGCTACAGCGCAGCAGTGCAAACGAGACTTGGCAACATATTCCGATGATGTCAGCACATGTCCACTTCCCTCATTTCCACCAGCACCAAAGTAAAAACTGCTTCAAAGGCCATGGCTTGCCGAGGGATGCCTGATAGTCCTGTAGTGTATGTCTGTGTGCTGCAAAAGGTCACCAACATTCAGCCAACTTGCCGAACGCAAGTCTATGCAAGCAGGCAAGTGCAACTGCGAGGCGCCCAAGTCTGTGATCTTGGCTTCCAGGTCTGCGTCGCCGGACGACGCGCCCTCAGACTGCCCAAAGACGCAAAGATCAACAACTGCCTGCCGTGTTCCGCCTTTGCCATAGAAACAAAAGGAGCCAAGCTATTGTTTGCAGCTAAGCTACATTGGCCTGCCCTGGTGCCTTTGCGGCTGCCTTCTCCGCAGGCTTTGCAGCTGCCTTCTCCGCAGGCTTTGCAGCTGCCTTCTCCGAAGGCTTTGCAGCTGCCTTCTCCGCAGGCTTTGCAGCTGCCTTCTCCGAAGGCTTTGCAGCTGCCTTCTTTTCTGCTGGCTTTGCGTCTGCCTTCTTCTCTGCCGGCTTCTCAGCCTTCTTGTCGCCCTGCAACGCTATCGGCTTGTGTGGATCATTCCCCGAAGTGCATGGAAGCATCTGCACAATGACAGCACGCCACATGGTGACAATCAGTGACAACACTATCCCATGTGATTCATCAGCGCGACCAAGCCACCCACCCAGCCCGCACAAACACACACGGCCGACATGCTGGCAGGCTGGCACAGGGCAGGCACGCAAGGGCTATGGCATGGGTGCTCACCCGCGCGCTGCAGTGCAGCTACAGTACTGGGTCTAACGCAATAAAGAGAACACCATCTGCAAGCAGTGAACAACCAACAATGGGCCTTACTATGGCAGGCAAGCTCAGCTGACAAAATGTTCAAGACACTCGTACAAAACTTCACCCATGCTGGCACTCATCGCTGTTCCCAGTCTCCGCTTTCGATGAGCGCTCAACGCAGAAGCCCTCTCAGTCTGTCCCCTTCGAGGTGACATGTGCCCAAGTTGATTCCCTGGGTCCAGAAACAAGAGGCATAACGCTCAGCATGTCCCACAACGTAAAACCAGTGAGGACCTTGACTATGGCATGATGCAAAGGATAAACAAAAAAGAAACAATTGCAGCTGGTGTCGCTTAGGACGTGTCTGAGGCAGTCCTAGCAGTTTCATCCCACCAATCAGTGCCCGAGTGCTCGCCTTTTCCCTGGCCGGTGGTGCAAAGGCTGGCAGCACAGCCCGAGGCTTCTCCGGAGCGGTGCAGAGCGCCCTTGGAAGCAACCGTCCAGATGGCATGAGGGTCACAAGCCAGTCCTTCCTTGGGAAGGCCTTCAATTCGTCGGTATCTGGGGATAAGGGCCAACTTGGCGCCCAAACATGGCAATTAGAACAGCGAAAGATGGCCATGCCATTGTCGTGCTGTTCCGGAAGCATTAACCCGCCAAGAAGAAACTCAAGCAACAGTCTGCCCACTTGCATTGGCCCAACAATGTGCCAAGAAGATGCTCACCCTCTGCTGCTCTTGAATGCTGAAGCTGAGGCGAACGCTCGTAACATGTGACCCTCTTCGCATCCACGCAAGCACTTTGGTATCCTGTTGTATCCTGTTTCGCTCTCGGCCTGCAAAACCCAGCAAAGTTGCATTCCATGATATAGAATGCTTAAGCATCACCAGTGTGATTGTCTGATGTCGAGACTGGCTAATACAAAAAGCCTTCAACTGCACATGTTCACAACTGCGCTGCATGGTCCCTCGCACGGTCCCCCCCCCCGCGAACATGGAAGAAAAAAAAACATGTTGGCATCAAGGGATGGTTGGCCGTAGGGGGTCAGCCTTGCTTCCTAATTGCCCAGGTTTGATTGCTCTCAGCAATCGTCTGCTTCAGGGTGTGGTCTGGTACCTCTGCCCTCCGGCGGCTAAGGGAAATACTGATGCCCGTTTCTGCTTGGTTCATGCCCGGGGGAACACGCCAAACACAAAAAAGGAAACCAGTTGACCCTGCGGCCAAGTAACACCTCGCCGAGGACTGCCTTGAAGGGCTGCATCTTGCAGCACTTCTCGAACCTAAGGGTGGAAACACCATCCACTCCTCAAAGTCACAAGGGGTGCAGCTGACTTTGAATTAGGCAACAGAAGAGCGTGTCAACACATGGGACATGGACTTTATTTCAAACCACATTTGGACACAACAGGTACATACAAAAACTCCTGTGATGTCCAAATGTCAAATGACCGTACATGACGGACAGTCAAGCGCGCCACGTGGCACGGGATGGACGACACTCCGGACATGCTCCAACACAACACGTGGGCCACTCACATGCTTTTCTCTCTGTTCCACTTGCTCGAGTTCACGCCAAAAGCGAAACAACCTGAGGTTGCCGCCACTGACACGTCTTGGGAAATGGCTTTCGGAAGTTCGAGTCGAAGACCCGTTTGAAACCTTCCTTCAGCGCGCACACCTTAGCCGCAAAGGCAGGATAACATGTTGAGAAACCGATTCTGGCCTTCTGCCCTAACTTCTGCCCAACAATGTATGTCTCAAGGCGTTCTCCAAGCTAAGGCTCTTGACAGTGCCAGATTTTACGTTTTTGCCCCCTCTCAATTGCAGGTGCTGAACCGCAACACATATCTGAGCGGCAGTCTTGACAACTCTTTACACGTTATCTTTCACAAAGCATCTCTTTACGTCAGCCAGCGCCACGGAACCCCTTTCTCAATCTCCAAGCCAGGCGGCCAAGGCGATGTCAGCCAGGGTGACGGAGTCTCCCACAAGGAAGGCGCTCGTCGCGAGCTGTCCTTCCATGACCTCAGGCAGATGCTCTGGCTGGTTGGTTGCTTGGGTGGTTGGTTGGTTGGTTAGGTGGTTGGGTGGTTGGTTTGTTCGTTGGTTGGCTGGCTAGTTGGTTGGCTGTTGACTGGTTGGCTGGCTGGCTGGCTGGCTGGCTGGCTGGCTGGCTGGCTGGCTGGCTGGCTGGTTGGTTGGTTGGGTGGGTGGGTGGTGGGTGGGTGGGTGGGTGGGTGGGTGGGTGGTGGTTTGGTTTGGCTTGGCTTGTTGGCTTGGCTTGTTGGCTGGCGTTTGTTGGCTGGCGTTTGTTGGGTTGATGCTGGTGCTGTGGTTGTGGTTGTGGTTGTGGACGTGGAAGACTGTCATGTACCCAATGAGAACCGTGGCACCCTGCTGAGGAATGGCCATGGTGCGCTTAAAGAAAAGAAACATCCTTGTCGCGCTGAAGTCTAAACAGAGGCAAACCATCCAACCATGATGGATGTCCATTTTGATGCACCTGCGATCGGCAGCTCGGTTCTCCTTCATTTCGGGCACGGCTTTCTAGGGGGAAACTTCGCCAAATTTGGCCCATTTTTCCCGCAGGCTCCTAGCCTCAGCCCTGAAAATACGCTGAGACACCTTCAAGGCCTTCTTCACGTCTTCCTGCAAGGATTGGTCGCGCTCATCTCTGAGGTGGCAAGGAGGATTAAGCGTGATCCCTTCCTTTCTTTCAAGAAAAGGCAATGGTTTGCAACTCCGGGGTCAAGTACCCTTTCGCTGGTTGTCATAGCAGCCGACATGAGTTTCGGCACCATCATGCACAAGCAACACGCTGGCCACTGCTGTGCTTGTTGGGAGGGTCGTTGCAAACCACTGAGCCTAAGTTGGATGTGCTGTGTCAAAAGCAAATCTGTGGTGGTGCTGGTGGCGGCGGTGGCGGGACCATTCATTTAGGTGATGTGGTTTGCTTTGTTGGGCAACATGTGCGTACTGCAAGCTCAATGCCACATCGTCTGTAATGCATTTCAGAAAGCTGCCAAATAACGTAATTCCTCTGCCCCGGTGGGCAATTCGCAAAGCGAGCAACCCGTGAGAGAGCCAACACACCAGCTTGGGCGATTTCCCCCCCCCACTCCACCCCCCAATTCAAAAAACCAAACAACATAAAACAAAGGAACAACAACAACTGACACAAAGCAATCACAGGGCACGTGGGCCGATGCCGCTCCTGGGCGTCCTTGGTGGCCGAAGGCACCTCTTCCATCATGCCCAGCACCGGGTACACCCAGGCCATCAAGGGGACCTCCACCTGAGGCAAGCACTCAAAATCGAAAGACCCTGATTTAAGACAGAAAGAAAGAACAGAGAGAAACAGCGGCCCCCGATGTTCCGCTTCGAGCCTTGTGCCGCATAGCGCAAGTGCAACTTGAAGCCATTTACAAAGCATTGGTTGGCTCGCGGATACATCATTCACAGTTGCCCACAAGTCAAGGGAGAATAGCTCCTTTAAAGCTGGTCCTTCCACTTGGGGAAAAAAAACAACATCCGAGCCAGGCAAACTGCAATGACTTGTTGACAAGCGAGCTGGTTGTGACCCAAAGCATCACAAGCAACCTCAATCAATCCATAGTTCGCTGGCTGAGACATGCAAACATTTCGGCAGCCTTGAAGGCAAGGACCCAGGGAATTCGACAGTGTCGAAAAAACTGTGTCTGCTCACACCGCCCTTCCAGTGACACACAATGACCTGTGCAATAGCCCACGGGATGCCCTGCTTTGCTTGGATCTCTTCAAACGCCGAAACCCAACCAAACAGGGGGCACCATCCCTATGCGACTTGACTGGTCAGAAAGTGTCAAAAAACTTTACCGACAAGTTTGGTGACTCAGGTAAGCCTCTCAACAGCCCACTCCCCAGCTTAACTTGAAGAAACATACCAAGTCGGGCCACCCGAAGCCTCGAAGCCGCCCAGCCCAAGCGCCTCGTGCAGGCAGAAGTCCAGCCAGGTGTCCACAGAGCCCTCCTCGTCGAAGCTGTCCCCGTAGAGGCCCAGGTCCCCCCGGCTGCGGGCCACATATCTGGAGAGGCATGGCTGTGAGCCATGGCTGGGAATTGGGAAGACGGTTGAAGAACCTGACACCTATGGGGTTGACAATAGAACATGGCTGGCTTGGGTCTATGTAAGCCCATAGTTTCTGCTCAGAGTGAGGAAGCTGCGTTTCTTTTCCCATTTGCCTCATCCCTTCCCAAGGGTTAGAGGAAACACACAAAATAATGGACTGTTCGCACTTGGTGCCTTGGTGCACGTGTGAATTGCCATGTTTAGCTAACCCCGACTGCCGGGAAAAAACAGCGCAAACGCGACCCACCTGGGCCAAATTAGGCCGCTTCACACATTCGCCCCCCCCCCCCCCCAGATTCACAGTCATAGCTGCATGTGTTCTTCATTTCACACCAAAATCATACCAACAAATTACATATATTGAGAGGCCACATACCTTACCATCTGACAAACAAGCAGTCCTTGCCTCGCCAAGCGTTTTCTTGCGAAGAGATAAGCAAGTGACTTTGTGTCACCAACCGCCCAAACGATGCAATTGGAGGAAACCGACACACTTATGACCCTCGAGATGAGTAGGGAAGGTGTTGCAAGGTGCTCAGAATCGGGGAATAAAGGACTTGGTACTTCGGCCAGCTGATTGACTCAAAGGCCTTGCCACCGCGTTGGAGGTAAAGATGCAGCCCTTCTCGGTCTCAAGATAGGGTACCTCAGGAAATGGGCTTATCGATACCAATGGATGCGGTACCTTGTGATGATCGCCCCTGCCATAGGAAAAAGCCATGAGTTCAGCAGGCTGTGCTTGCTTCTTCGAAAACTTGCAGTAGATTCTGGAACCTGGCTTTGTACAGAATGCAAGTTTGACTGATGTTGGTACGTAAGCAACATCTTAGCTGGCGACATGCATATTAGCAATATCCAGGACACACAAATCCAGTGAGGCAAGTTGGGCATCGGATCTGCGCTGGCTGCCAGTGCCAAAGAACAAACTCCGTACAGTATCCGCTTGATAATCAAACACTGGTTGCCATTCACAGCCGCTCTCAGACAAGTTGTTGCCTGAAGCCCGGCATGTGTGCGTACGGGAGTCCGCAAAATTGCTATTTGTAGGCTTGCAATGCTCCAAGGCGAACTAGCTGCACTTGCTACACCTTCGGCACACCTTATGTTATCCACAACATGCGTGCAAAACAAGCGAAAGCTTTCCTTCACATGCTGGCTGCGTGCTCTGTCGTGCTCATGGAGAAAACGCAGACTCCACACCATTCCCAGCAACATGCACCTATGCGGGTACTTATGGGGTAAAGTTCATAGTTTAAGTACTGGCATGAAGGCCCTCCTAAGGCAGTCCTTGCTGAGATGTGGTCAACCAGTCACACGAGATTCCTTTCTAAGCTGTCACATTCGACAAAAAACATTCAAAGCCCACTGCTGCGCCGATTCCAATGCACATTGACATCCTATGCTGCTAAAAAGCCTCCTTCCAATGCCCTACTAGGTGGGTGGCTTGAAGCCACCAGGAGATGGATGAATGCTCTCGTGAGGGGACCTGACTCCCCCGTTCTGACAGTTGATACCCTGCCTTGCCCGTAGGGTTCTTGGCAAGAAAGTCGGGCTTCTTGGCGTCCTTGTGCCATTTGGCATGCAGTATGGATCACGGCAAGCTTGGTTTGAACGCAGCCCCTTATGGCAAGCAAATCATAGCAACTCAAAAAGTGTGGTAGGAGATTGGGTAACCTGCAACACTCAGGCATGCATGCAGCAGGCAGGACACCTGATAGGAACCTGCTGTTGAAACAAACCGGGAAGCCCGCAATGACAAGCAAAAGCATGGGCCGCTTGCCTCACCACCGGCACTAGCATGCTGCTGTGACTGCCTCCTGAGAACCTGCAAAAAATGCACACAAGTCCTGAAACACACGACCAGAGCTGGCTGAACAGCTTGCTGACAAGCGGCTTTCTGGGGATCAAACTTCTTAGTTTGAAGGGCAGAGCCAGTGAACTTGGCCGCGATCAAAGCCTGTCAAAGCATCCAGCTGATTGGATGTACAGCTGCCACTTCGGCAGTGTAGCCCTGGCTGTTAGGCTCAAGCGCAGGGAGGACGAGGCATGATACGAACCCTTGGACCAAAGTGGCCGCCTACTTGCCCAAGAGGGTGGTGGGCGCCTGCTTGCCCACCTTCACACCAGAGCATGCCCATAACATGCGCGCCTTCTCCGCTTTGTACTTTGCCTCCTCCACGTAGAAGAGGGTCCCCAGCTCGGGGGGCGCCATCCCTACCTCAAATAAGAGACTAAAATGGCCAAGGGGAAGTTGACCCTTTTCTTTCTGGCCCCATGCCTTACCATGTCGTGCGGTCATTAAAGCAAGCAACTCATGGCTGAGACTCCTTCAAGTAGGGCCTAGCTGCTAACCTTCATTCAAAAACATGTCTGGACATGCCACCAAGTTGGCAATCCAAACCCTTGCTTCGCGAGCAAATCTGGGCAAACCAAGCACTGCAAGGACAGTGAAGTGTCCCTTTATCCTACTTTGCTTCGAGTACAGGCTGGGCAAGCGACCTCCTATCCGCCTGGACCTGACATCTTTGGACACCAAAACCCCCACTCCGACGTCGTATGCCGAAGTGCCAAGTGCGGGCGCAAGCCCGCGTCACGGCCGCAGCGCTGAGCCGGTACAATGGCTGACGGACCGAGCAACGGCCGGCAGAGACTGACTGCAGACTCGGACTGCGGCTGGAATGGCTTGGAGGTCTTGAGCACGCCGGGCCAAAGATTCCAAGGGGCACGATCCTTGTCAGGCCGAGGTGGGCCATCTATGCAAGGACTAGACAAGCTCACTTTGAGGGAGACTTGGTATCAACGAAAGACAAAAATGATATACATGCCAGCGGTTTAAAGATGTGTTGACAACCTGCTCGCTTGATGTGTGGTGTGGTTGGCTGCAGCCGGGTCGAACCTCTGAGCGACAAATTCGTATCAAACGCCTGTCGCAAATTGGCATTTGGTAGTGGTTAATGGGACCTGAGAAGCCAGGAACGCAAAAAGGCCATGTTTTGAATGCAATTGCTCTAGTCCCGGTCGCCCAAGGCAGATTTGTAATGAAGCTGAGACACCCTCGCTCCCGTATCATGCTACCAAAAATAGGATTGTCTGAAATTTCAACTGGAGGTAGATCAAACTCCGCAACTGGAAAACCAGCGCTAGCGGTGCCCAATGTCAGGAATCAGATTCATCCCCTGCTATGATTGCTCAAGGTCCTGCGGACGGAGCTCCCTCAATCATTGTCATCAGAATGCTCTGGAATGGAGCAGGATCTTTGCCGGAAAATTGTCTGAAGGCGATCAATCTTTGGCCTTGGCTTCTATGCAGCTCCCTCCTAAAGTACAACGCGACTCCACTCGACCCCAGGTCGGCCTTCTTGTGCACCAGCTTTGCTGCTGCGCAGGCTGCTCGCCGGTCGCACAGGTGTCCATTGGCGATCACTTGCGAAATCCCTAGCAGACTCCGTTGGATCGCGGCTGCGCGGCTGCAGCGGCCCGGCAAAAGTCATTTTAGAGAAGGGGGTTGAGCTAACAAACAAACCATGCGTCCAAAGCAGGCAGTGCGGAAGAAATGCCAAGGTGGTTTTAAGCATCATTCCCCCTTGTAAATGATGTCCACCAAAGCGTCCAACTTTTGGCTCTCTCCGCTGAACTTCGTCAGGGTGAAATGCGCTGGGGCCACCGTGGCCGAAGAGTGACAGGCATGGCGAGCAGCAGGCTACAGGCGTCAAACTCCAATCAATGATCCAAAGTAAGTGGCCAGCTGCTGGCCCGCTGAAGAAAGCAAGCTTGCATGGTCAAACAAATCTGGCCATGTAAGCCTAAACAGTTGGTCGACAGACTGGGCATGTTCTGCTCCGCACCGTCAAGGAATCTCAATCGGTCTCAGCAACTTGTACGATTATCATTGACAAGCTGAATACGCGTGAAGCAAATCAAACTGTTCCAAAACCAAGGCCAACACTACACACGCTCATACTTCCATTTCTGCACGATTCTAGTAGGGGGCATTACAAGCATATCCCAATTCCACCCCCTTATTGTTTCATTCAGCCTAGGGCAGTTCTGTGAATGTTGGCTGGCAAGGCGCTTGGTTTCAGTTTTGCCTGGGATCCTCGGTAGTTCAACGTCCACGAGCCAGGAACACCCTTTGACGCTGTGGCCCGGTTAGTTTCACGAGTCGACCCAAGACTTTCCATCATAGTCGTTGAATTCCCCACCTTCCGTGCTAACATGTCGGTCCGTCACAAGCTTACCGTTGGCACTTGCAAAAACTGTTCATGGAGTCCCCCTTGCATTCTGGGCTACCCCCCCTCCAAAGCAACTGCTGCGCCTCGGCACATGAGTCCTACGTATATCCTACTGCCTGCTTCGTGGGTCCTACCCGGGTTATGCATGTTGCTGCACCGGTCCGAGACTCTCAGAGCGCCGCCAGCAGCGCCAGGCTGGCAAAGCAGGCGCTGGCGCCGTAGCCATGGGCTGCCCCAACCGAAGCCCCCGTGGTAGAAGATCCCGACATCGTGGTCGTGGTGGTGGTGGTGGTTGTGGTGTCACCGCTGCAGGTCACCATCGCACCAATCACCTCGTCATTCATGCAGGAGCCGCCATGGCCACCTGAGGCCATGGGCACACCCTTCAGACACTTCTATGCGGAATAATTTTATGTGTGTACCTGCAGATCTTGATCAGTAGGTTATAGTGTAACTTCGTCCTCAACAAGTTCCAGAGTCCCATCACCTTAAACTTGCCAACCCCTTCCCATCCGAAGGCGCAGGTCGACCACCAGGGAGTGTCCCCGCTCCTTGGCGCCGCAACAGCCAGCCCGTGCGAACTGTCCAATGCGTGGGAAACCAGTCATGTCCCACCACAAACAAAAAGTCATACCCAACAAAAAGCCAAAGGAAACATGCGCCCAATCACTGATAACACATGATTGTTTTATACAGAGTCAGCCCATTCCTGATTCGTTTAAAAAAAAACGGCACAAACATGTATATATATATATACAGTTATATATATATAGATATGTAGTTTGTAGTTTCAGGGAGTTATGTTTAGTCCCAACTAGCGCCAGGTGCTCACCCATCAACACAAAAGGCCAAAGGAAAGATGCACACACTCCTGGTTGAGTTTCCCAAACAGGGTCAAAGGATTAAGACCCAATCATGAACCAAAGCCAGGGGTGAACCGCCAACGTTGGAGACACTGGGCATGTAGGGGCCCTTCCAGACGGGCTGCAGTTGAGAAACTCAGGTTGGAGCCAAGGTTCATCCCGGTGCTGGCGGGGCAGCTCACCGTGGCCACCGAGGCATTGCCTGCGCTGCACATCACGTTGGCCATGGTACCGGCTGTCACCGTGGTGGCGCCGTCGAAGGTCCAGGTGGCGCCCTGCAAGCTATGACTCAGAACTTCGGCGTTGTGCGGGAAAAACATGTTTCAGAAAAACCGCATAGTGAGGTCACTGTAGTTTTGCTTGCTCCGGTTTCGCGCTGCGAAGCACCTTGTCGCTGGTCAAGATCCACGCTCTAGTTTGCACTGTGGCTTTGCCAATCCTGGTTGGCTAGCCCTTGCCCTTGGACTACGGCTGCAGCTCTGAAGTATGGCTCTACAGCTGTGGCTGTCCAATTTAGTGCCAAGCGGACAGCTGACTCTTTCACGCATGGCCAGGCATGAATTTCGTTCTTGCCAGCTGCCCAGCTTCCCCACGCCTGGCCATGGTGAGAAAGGAGATCAAAGGAAGCGCCTCTTGCAGCGCGAAGAGTTTACAATAAGTATGGCCCCCCAAGTGACTTGATTGGAGCTGCTAGCTTTCGATTCCTGCATTGCAGGACCCCCCTACCAACCTCCCTTCCCCATCACGCAACAAATGTAAGTTACATCATTCTCCGGTCCATACTGTCCCCATCGCCAAACCTCTTTTCCCCCTTCTCCCCCTCCTCTGGCAGCTTGCACTTGGGGGGGCTGTTCGCCCAGGCCCAGGCCGCCCGGGAAGGGATGCCCAGCGTCAGCAGCTGCGCCACAGCTGCCCCCACTGCTGCCGCCACAACGGAGGTGCGCATTTTGGGGTCAGAGACGGGTGGGGCGCGGAAGATTTTGAGCCAAAAGCGCTGGGCCAATCGCGATTGCGTCCGAGGTGAATTTCATCCAACCCTCCAGCACGTGTTCGGCACCATGGCAGTCTGCGTCACAACAAGCACGTGACTAAAATCACACGTCATCACATGTCTGGGCGTCTCCTCAACATGCGCTGCTGGGACATCTGACCCAAATCCAGTGCCACGACTAAGAACCTGCGCAGCTATCACATTGATCACCCACTTGCGCCACCTGAAACACATTTGTCGAAATCGTCCGCTCAGACTCTCACCGAATACTTACTTCTTGCCGCCGGCTTTGCAGCAGCAACGGACCGAACCAGCCCTGGATAAACACGGTGCTGGAAAGAACACTGGCGAAACCTTCAACAAAACTCGTGACACGCTTAAATACAATGCAATAGTATATCGCCAAACCAGCACACGTGCAAATATCTTGCTGACAGATCGGGCATGTTCTGCACCGCGCTGCCATTTCAAGGAATCCGCCCAGTCTTCGCAACGGCTTGACAAATGATGATCATTGATCAGCATTACAGGCAGGCGCTGTGGGCCTGATGGCTTTTGAAAGGTATTCGCATCAAACTCAACTAGAAAGATTCAAGCGGAGGGAAGCCTCATCTCACCGCATGCCAGGAAAAGCAACAACCTCATGGCCGCCCATGGATTCCCCAAACCCGAACTTCTCGCGTTGGTGCCTACGGGCTCAAGCCAACGCCAGCAGCACCGCTGTGAAGCAAAGGCCAGCGCTGCTGCCAAAGGCTGCTCCAACTTGAACTCTGACCGTGGTGGTCGCCTGCATACGCCCCAAGCCCGACAAGGAAGTTTTCTGTTCCAATGGGTCCGCAGAAGGGGAAGGGTGCGCAATGCACACTTCCAATTCAGGTGGCGGAAACAACCTCTGGCTGCCCAAAAGGCAAGGCAAGCTGTTGCAAGGAACACACATGGTAACCGGCACCGGCTTTCACACACCTCACAAAGCTGGATGATTGTAAAATGGGCAGCGGAAAACATCTAGATAGATCAAGCATCCTACCGACCCCAGCAACTTTTATCTTATCTGCTTCACGGTGTCGAAATCTGAAAGGAAGCAACAAAGCAAGCAACAACAAATGGAGAAGGCCATATGGTTGCTCAAGGTTATCATCAACGGGCCTGGCCTCCTGCTCCGAGATGCGAAGCTGACGGAGCATTACATACGCACACACACACACAAACATAGTAGCCAAACCCTACTTATGCCCCTACCGGATCTCTCAAACGTCAAACTGTACTATCAATGAACACTGTCTCCACACTTGGCGGCCTGATAGGCATGCTATACGTTGCTTCTCTACTGGCTGCTAAAGACTCAGCAAACACGTTGACGTCGCGCTAGGCCCAACGTTCGCAACTGAACTGTCAACATGCTCCGGCCCAAATGCCCTTAAGTCATGCCAAGTGGCTCCATTGGTGCTACCAACCGTCGTCGACATCGTCGTGGTGCTTTCCTCTGTTGTCGACATCGTCGTGGTGCTATCCTCTGCTGCCGACATCGTGGTTGTGCTACCCTCTGTTCCTGACATCGTTGTGGTGCTAGCCTCCGTTGTGCCTGTCGTCGTGGTGCTACTCTCTGTTGTTGTCGTGGTGCTTACCGTGGTTGTTGCGGCAGTGCAGGAAATGCTGGCACCGATTTCCAGGTCACTCACGCAGGAGTTCCCATAGCCACCTCATGTCTGCAAGGGCTGCATCTGTTGACAAAAACATGTCCGACGAATATACTTCTGCAAGGAAGTGGGGTTGGCAACAACAGTTGCCACGCATCATCTCCCTAACCCAAACAAAAAGCATCGCGACTGCAACTGGGCTTTGACAACTGGGATCCCAAGAGTACGTCGTGTTGATCTGTTTCTATGCAGGTTGGAAACCACTTACGTGAAATCACGGATGTGCAACGTAGTAGCCTTACATAGCCTAATAACCTGAGTTGTTTGATATCCTTGGCGACCCAACCCCGGACTAGCCGAACCACGCCGGAATCAACGCTTGAACTCTGATCCACAATGAAGAGTTGAGGACCATTCCTTGTTTTGGCGGACATCATTTGCAAGTTTATGTCCACTACCTAGCAACCACAGAAATCCAATGTGATGTGATGTGGCTGTGGGTCAAAAATGGGTACCCGAAACGGAACCCTGGTAACTGGTAAATGGAACCAAGGACTAAAACCTGCGGTCCCCTGGTGGTTAGGACGGTGCCGTATGGCCAAAAGTCTCCGGGCCGCAAGTGCCCCACCAACTGTCACCGCTGACCCCCGTGCTGGAGGGGCAGCTCACCGTGCTCGTGGAGGGTGACGCACCGCTCGCGCTGCAACTCACCGTGGCCACGGTGCCCGCTGTCACTGTGGTGGCGCCGTTGAAGGTCCAGGCGGCGGCCTGGGGCTCGGGAAAACCAGCCGACTGGACTTCCACCGTGAACGCCAGTGCTTGCTCTCAAACATGTCACAGGTGGGCCAAAGCAGGAAATGTTGGGCCCCAACCCTTTTCGACCGTGACTGAAGTCTTGGGGAACCATAACGTCAAACGGCCTGCATTAGGCGTCAATAACCAACTCGGCCAACCCAGAGAACATGAGCAACGGCTACATACGAAAATGCTTTAGATAGGTAGATAGATAGGTAGATAGATAAACAGAGAAGATTACAATAGATAGATACATAGACAAGATAGATAAGATAGATAGGAAAGATGAGACTGATAAGATTGATAAGAGAGATAAGAGAGATAAGACAGATAGGATAGAAACTATAGATAAGATAAGACGGATAATATGACTAAGATAAGATAGATAAGATAGATAGATAAGATGGTTACAATGGATACGATAGATACAATAGATAATATAGACAGATACGATCGACACGACAAGAAAGAAACGATAGATACGATAGTTAAGATAGATAAGACTGATCCGATAGAGATGGAAAAGATCGATAATATGAATAAGATCGATGGATAAATGTATAGATAGATAGATCGATAGATATATATATAGATAGATAGATAGATAGATAGATAGATAGATAGATAGATAGATAGATAGATAGATAGATAGATAGATACATAGATAAGATAGATAGGATATGTAGCATAGATGAGATAAACAAAACTGTCAAGGTATATAAGATAGGTAATATAAGATGTATCAGATGGATACGATGGCTAAGATGGACAAGACAGACAGATAGATTAGATAGATAGATACATAGATAGACAGATAGATACACATATAGAACATATAGATAATATAGATAAGATAAGGTCAGATACGATAAGATACACTAGCATAAGACAGATTAATACATCAACTGATAGATATGCCGATCGATAGATAGAACATATTAATATATATATAGAGATAGATAGGTAGCTAGATAAATAGATAAGAGAGATAGATAGATAGATAGATAGATAGATAGATTAGATTAGATTAGATTAGATTAGATTAGATTAGATTAGATTAGATTAGATTAGATTAGATTAGATTAGATAGATAGATAGATAGATAGATAGATTAGATAGATAGATAGATAGATAGATATATAGATAGATTAGATAGATAGATAGATAGATACGATAGATAGATAGATAGATAGATAGATAGATAGACAGACAGACAGACAAACAGACAGACAAACAAATAGATAGATAGATAGATAGATATACAGATGAGTAGGTTAGATAGAGACATGAATATACATTTCGATGGATGGATAGATAGGTCTATAGATTAATATATATATATGTATATAGAGAGAATCGAATGGATATGGACCATGGACAACTCGATAGAACCATAGGAATAAACAAATATAGATGCAGAGGGAAACAACCAAACAAAAGAAATAAACACACACACACAACATGAAACACAAAGGACGACTTACTATGGAAAAAAACGCATAATACATTACTAACATGGCGAACTTGTACTTAACAAATTCAACATTGACGCTTTCAAGACCATTGAATCATTGCGGTGATTGTGCAAATCAACACAGGAATGCACTCCAAACTGAAACGATCAGTGCACCTATGAATGCCCAAAATACTTGATGACAACACTCTATCATTCTGGAAAAAATCAGGGCGTTCATTACTGGAGGGAAGTGATCGGTGAGCCCAAACAGTCCGCTGCCACGTTTGAAAGACCCAATCTGCTTCAGCGAATTTGTGGGAACCCAACCCTTGTGGCTTTCTGCGCTGGAAGCCAACAAAAAGCCAAAAATCACAAAACTATAGCCTGTAGGCTGCCTAATCATGCTCCACTTGCTACCCAGCGCTCTCGCCGCCGGCGCCTGCGGCAGCTTGCACTTGGGCGGGCTGCTGGACCACGCCCACATCGCGCGCCCTGGCACGCCCAGGGCCAGCAGCTGCGCCAAGAAAGCCCCGAGCACGGCACAGCCCGTGGCCGTGCAGCGCATGGCGCGAAAAGCGGAAAAGGACGGGCGCCCGGTAGTTTTTGAACCCAACGGCTGGCACCCAAGGGGGTGATTTGCAGCAACAGCTGACCGGTGTCCTCAAATCGGCGCAGAATTCGAACAAGGGTGTGATCATGTTCTAGAATGTTCTTCATGACCTGAGATGTGCCAAAAACATCCGAATGGAATCTCATCCTGATGAAAAACAAAATCACCAAGCACACCGATGAAAGCCTGAACTTCACGGAACTTCATTTGGGGACCCGCAGTTTCATGGAACTCCACTAAATTTCTTTGGAAATCTTATGTTTCATGGATCTCGAGAAAACCCGCTTTTAGTCTGATGGAAAATTCGTGCCTGGGTGCGGCAGGCTAGCAACATCACGGGGCCCCTTGTTTTACAATCCCAAAATAGCTCGCCAACCTCGATCCACAAGGCCACCAGCTGTCTGAAGGTGGGAGCTTCCCCTGACCCATGTCTCCTTCTCCCGCAGATCGTCTGTAGCTCGCTGAGCCTCCGCAGGCATGACGGTACTGCAAATGCAGGGGCTATGGAAATCACAGACGCAATGGAACAGCGGTAGAACAAATCCAACCCCAAAGTGTCAAAGCCTATTGAATAAGCAACGAGCTAGACTTACCATCCACGTGCCCTCTGCTAAAACCTCAACACCACCTCCCTAGGTTAGCAACACAACCTCCAGCGTCGAATCTTTGCGTCACTTCATCGGATTGAATTGAACTGGTGGCCACAAAGCATGTTGGTGATGCTCCACGCCCCTCTCACGGTCACAGGGCCCTTCGATGAATCGCTCGACCGGTTCTTCACATGGGCTAACACCCGGCTTAAACACATCATTTTCCATTCGGCAAACGTCCGATCGCTATGGCGTGGTCTCGCGGACCAGGGAAGGTATCGGGGCTTTCTGGGAACCCGAAACTAGCATCTGGTGAATTTCTTGTGGGGGCCTCCCTGATTTGTGGGAATGCTTCTTGCCTTTTTTGGGATAGCACCGGTCACCTAATTACTATTGATTCATGAGCCGGTCTTAGCACCAAGTTCTCGGCCCCCGTTCCACAAAGGACCCCGCTCAGCTCAAACCTCGAGTTTACCTGCGTCGAACTTGCCCTGAGCTTTCAAGAAATCAGGCTGTGCTTTTGCTGGCTTGGCTTCAATACCTGGCTGCCTCAAGCGCGAGCCTGCAAATCTCACCACGGCAGCTGCAAAACTCTGAGTCGTTTGGCAACCAAGCTATGTGCTGGCGGTTCACTAATACCAATGAAGAGGTGTCTTAACCAAGCAAAACAGCGTGAACAACTCCATGGGGACAGGGCAGCTGACGCCGTCTCCCCCAAGCAATGAAACAGCAAGGTAGCTCCCCCCCCCCCAGCCATCCATTTTGTGCACAATGCAAGGCTCGCGTGATCCGGTGCCCGGACCATCAAGCACGCGGAGCCAAGCTTTCTCCCAATAACAGTCAGGGCTGGTGTCTGAGCCCCGAGTTGCTGACGCACGTGGGAAAGAACTCAAAGAAAAGCAGTGCAAACGCAACAAACGTGTTCAACTTTGATGTTGCCTACTGAAGCTTTGTTAAGTTCCTGCTGGGCTCCCTTCGTCTCAGCTTCATGCAGTTGACAGCAGCCAGGGATTCTTTGAGCAAATGAACGCATCATACAATTTCCTGCCAAGTGTAAGTTTAAATGTGCGACCTTCGCAATCAAAAGAGATTCCCATGTTGCTTGGCAGAATGGATTGATCCCAAGCGAACTGCATATCACAAACATCGCCTTTCTGAGCTTCAGCCCGCAAAGGGCCATGGAAGCACTGCCCAATTCTTCACTCGGTCACCCAGACGGAAGCTCATGCACACACACACACAAACGCACGCACGGATGCATATACAGTCCCAAGATGAGGGCACGAGAGATTCCGAATCCGAACGCACATATTCAAAAACATACCACCTACTGGTTGCAAGCCGTACTTATCACATATACTAGCTGCTAGCAAAAACCGGCGTGTTCTGCTTTGCAAGGCCTCCTATGTAAATCGAAACAGCCTATGGCTCGCAAATAGTGGCTGCCCGCTGCTTGGCTGCGAAGAGCCAAGCATCATAGCGCGCCTCTCCCGATATGGCACCGACTAATTATGGCGCCCCTGGCTGCCCCTGACAACTGGAGGAAGTTGGCTGTGAACCTCATAGTTGCGGAGCGGGCGCTAGTGAAAGCAGCCAAGCACTCCGCTTGACGGACATGGGCCGCTGTGGAGAACAGCAGCACTGCAAACAACATTCAACATGCATAAGGAATATCAGGATGGCTCTGGTGCTGCGACCAGAACTGTCGCATAAATTTGAATCATTGCCAAAAATAAAACTTGGACCTGCGTTCCGCTCAACTTGGGCCCTGTCACTCCACAAAGGCTTGCTTCCAAATTGCAGCGTTCAGAGACGTCCAGGCCTGCACCAAATGGCTGGATTGGCATCACTATGCCTGAATGTCTACATTTTGCGAACTGATGCAAAACAGTCCCTTGTCTAAGTGGCCCGTTTTGTGATATCACGTGTCTGGATAGTACGCTGCTGTTGTTCTTTTGTTTCTCTCTCTCTCTCTCTCTAACGCAGGGGCTGGTAGCACAAAGCACATGTGTGGAATATGTACCTGTTGCCAAGCGTCCATTAAAACGCTGCTCAGTGTCAGTGCATCAATTCAGCTGTAGCACATGCAAGAAATCCGAAGGAAGCTGGGTAACAGTCAGCGTGCGAGAACCGGATGCGTGTATCCGTACTCTCGTGTTTGCGACTTGGGTCTGTCGGAGAGCTCCTCGTAATCCGCTATTACTTTGATTGACAGCTCATGGCACAATTGGAGACGAAGCACTCAAAGTAAATTCACAGGTGCCCGGCATGGAAGCACTGACATGCTCTCAATGCGCAGGCCTCAACTTCTGCTGCGTTTTTTGCGGCTCTCACTCCGGCCTCAGCAGTGGCTTGCCACTAGCTGTGTCACGCATCGATGTTTTACGAAACCCAACCTGTCTCAACGTCAGCTGCTTCGTGCGACATGTTCGATTGGTGGAACATGGCTTGCCATACCAAATCCAAGCACCCTGGGACTCTGTTCCCCTCACTCCACACCACGATATCCGCAACTCGTCGGACTGTGCGCTTTGGCTGGCCTGCGTAAGACTTGTTTCATGGATCCAGCCTTCCTGTTCAAAATGATCCATGCTTCCAGCGATGTGGCCTGCCAGTGTAGGATCTCGAACTTGTCACCATCAACCTGTTTGGTCTTCTCACCCAGCACTAGAGCATGCCAACCTCGATCCCCACTTGCCAACGGTATTGTAGCACACCATGCTCAAGACCCACAGAACATGACAATGTATGGCAAACAGCTGCGAGTGGGATGTGTTTGCTGTTCCTGCACGAGGGGTTTGGCATTTTTGGATGCGGTTTCGGGCTTACTTGGTCTGGCTATGGTGATGTTTGGCACCCCTCTGCCTTTCCGGGCAAAAGCGAGGAAGGGCAGGAGCCCGGCGCAATGCTGATTCGGAAAAGAATGCGTCTCGGACAAGAATGCGTCTGGGCAGAATGCAACGCAGCAGGTGGGAAGTTTAACAAATGGCAAAACATGCGTCCGGGCAATGTGAAACGGCAGTACATGGAATTACAGCCAAGTCCGGAAGGCGCGGGAATCAAACCCCTGCCGCCCCATTTTTCCAGTTTCTAGGCTTGTCACTCCCCCCCAGCTTTCGGGATTTGTTGGTTGGTTGTCTGTTTCCAGTGGATTTGTTATTGATGGGGGCCTGATCAATCATTTCTACAGCTGGCGTACATCAGGAACATCTCCTCAAGGCAGGCAAGAGCAATTAAGCCTCGTTGAATAGCTCAGTGCGCTAGCAATCTCACGGTCGTTCAAGTTCAAATATATCAGTCAAAACCACAAGCCGGCACTGCGCGGGCAGCTACTGTGCCCATACTTGGAAGGCATACTTACGTGAACACCTATGATTTTTCAACCCGATCTGGCCCTCCTGAGGCACCGCACGTCGTCGACTCCTGTCGCCGCCCCGGCTTTTGTCGCGGCCACGGCTTTTGTCGCGGCGGTCCCGCCTGGTGTATCTCTGGCATTTTGGCAGCTGATGAATTCACTCGGCTTCGGCGTCAATGGGTGAGGGAAGTTCAAGCAATCATGATTCATGATTTGAAGCTTGTCTTAAACTAATTCAAAGGGATTGTCATAACTTGAACTGTCCATGATTAGAACGAATCCTGATACCCAAGGCTGCAATTGCAATTGCTTCAAAAAAACAATAATGAACAACAATAATGAACTGGGCGAACCTCCAAGACGGACCTACTGGCCCGCAACAAACCCGGCGAACAACCATCAACACTGCATACTGATCAAAGAGCACCTCATCAGTGTTTCCTTTTTTCCAGGCCTTTTGCTACGACTGCGGCGGCCGCCGCCACTGCCACCGCCACCGCCGCCGCCTGCCGCACCTGGGATTGCAAATTGCAGAAGCCCCTTCGTCATGCCTCAGAATCACAATTCACACGTGTCTGTGTGTGTGTGAACATGTTCCACGCTGTGGCTGGTTGCAACTTGGTCGAAAATCGTGCTGTACAAGAAAAACGCAAACACGGCCGAAATTCCGCAGAAAGAATCAGCAGCGGGCTTCGGAGAAAAACAAAAGGAAATCAGCAGAAAGCAAAAGCAACTGACAGCCCAGGCAAAAGGAACACGTCGCAGCAACGAAGCGGGGCTAGGGTCCCCCGAGGTGAGGGGTCCTATTGGTAAGGCAGACAGGCTCTCTCGAGGCAACGGAATACGGTTTTCCTTGGTCGGATAAGCTTGGCTAGCCGGCCATCCATCCTAGTCCACATGCGTGACATGGGTGGTTGGCCAGGGGATCTCAAATGATTTCAGCACCGATTTGTCAATAGTCCAAACCAAGGGTCACTGGCGCGAAAACCGCGTCTTCATGGAAAAGTCCGAGGCGCGTTGCAGAAACAGATCTCTGCTGCCCATCTCCATGTCCCGGGGCTCC